GGAAGGGCATTGCGAGGCCAGGGTCAGCACCGTGGAGAGTTGAGGGGCTTCTGGGAGAAGGGGTCATCTTTCTCCGTGACCTGGGCTTTGTCGGCCTCCCTGTGGAATGAGCTCTGTACTCAGAATTCTGCAGCCACAGCTTAAGGCCTTGCATGGATCGCTGGCCTCCTAGCAGTGACTTCCCACATCGTGTTCTGTTTACAAGTGTGTTGCCAAAGGTCTCTAGAGAAGCGCTGGTCAGGGGTGAGCTCACGGATGCACCTGCCTCATGCTTTCAGGCCCTGGAAGTCCTTATTCAGACAACCAAGTGGTACACCTGGAGTCCCAGGGGAGGCTGGGACTCAGGGACTGCCTGCTCTCTGGCTGCAGTCATTGGCCAGAGCTCTGGGCTCTCCCGGGCCCAGAACATAGCTCTGCCTGCACCTACTTCGGGGGCTCAGAGACTAAGCTAGAAAGGGGTGGGGGTGGCCACTGGAGAACCCACTTTCACTGTCAATCTTGAGGTCAAAGAAAACCAGGGGCCTGTCTTCTGCTTGGGGGTCGGCGAGGCTCTCATCCAGGACCCTCAAAGAGCTGGGACCCTCCAGTTGGAGGTCACTGGACTCGCTGCTGCTGTCGTCCAGCTCCCGGGAGGACTGCAACACAGAGAAACCAACAGGTCAGGGGCCCGGAGGGCGAGAGGGGGGCGTGTTGGCAAGGTGAGCATGTGCCCACGGGCCGGTGTGCGTGTGTGATGTGAACGTGGGAACAGGAGCAAGCTGGTATGGTGGGGGGGGGGGGGCATCCGCACGCACATGCGGGAGAGAGGGGAAGGGGAAGGTGTATATCCGTCTAAGCAAGTGCGTGTGCACGAGGATGTGTGCGTATGAATGGATGTCAGTGTGCATGTGCGCGTGTGAGGGCCGTGTGGGAACCACCACGTTTGTGAGTAGGGGTGAAAGGCTGAGATCACGCAGACGAGTGTGTGCGAAAGCACGAACATGGGAATGAATGCAAATGCCAAATGTGTGTGTGCACATCGGGTGTGAATTTATGAACCTGTGTTGACAGGTGTGTGGGAATGTGAGCATGTGTGAGTGTGCACATGGGCGCATAGCGCCAGGTCTGGAAGCTCAGGGAAGGGGCCAGTGCTCTGGTGGGCAGGGCCGGAGGGGTCTGCTGCTCCCTTCTCTCTGAACAGACTCAGAAGAAACACTTCTTGGGACGGGAGGAAGGAGCCTCATCTCAAACCTGAGGTTTCTCTGGAAGGGGCCAGGAGCTTGGCTCTTCTTGTCCCCATAGCCAGCCAAGGCTCCAGTGTCTTAGGGGGACCGCTCGCCTCAGGAATGCCACATCTGGGTGGACACACGAAGCCTGGAGGCCCTCTGTCGTTTAGCATCCAGGAGCCGGCTGCTTAGGGAAGCCTCAGGCCCGGGGCTCCTCTAGCCTGGGCACCCAAGGCCCTGTTCTCACCAGCACCAAGGCAAAAAATCTGAAAGGCCTCAGGGTGGGGGAAGGGCTCTGTCTCCGTGAGCCCCAAGGGGCTGCGGCTACAGAGGGCGGTAGAGGCTCATCATCTGCAAAGCTGCCAAAGCCAGCCGATGTCTCGGGAGGCCTGCTCAGAACTGCCTGTGAATGCCACCTGTGGACGTGAGCCAGAGACCAGGGGGAAAGGACGTGGCCAACATCACACGGCCAGCTGGGAGTACTGCTGGGACAGAGTCCAGAGCAGCCCTCGGGTCTTTCCTACTTACAGACTGCCTCACCCGGGGCTATCTGAAGCCTCCAAGGATGAACGCTGGCCTCTGGCTAATGTCCTTGGCTCGGCAGGTAATAAGCATGGGCCTTGGCCCTTGTATTCACCAGGTGAAACATTTTAACAAAACTTCAGCCAAGAGCAAAGTCCTTACTAGCCACAGGTAAAATGTGCTGGTTTTCCCCAGGAGTGGCCGATTTTCACTTCATTGGCTTCTCATAGCCCTACCCCAGGCTCACCAGCTTCCTCCCGGTCACTGATAGAGAAAGACATTCACTATGAATCTGTCTAGAGCTGGTCTTGCTTAGAGAAGCCTGGAGTTCGGGGATTCTATACATAAGGTCCCAATAAAAGTCTTCGTCAAACGCCTCGCATATCTGGATCCTCGATCGGCCACGCGTCAAAGGTTTATTTTGCAAGGGTTGCTCTGCATCTTCTGTCTCACTGTGGCAGCTCCCTTTCCTCCCTGTGAGGAGCCTTCTCCAGGAATCTTCCTCGAAGTTGCTAGACCAGATACTCCACCTTCTTTCCTTGAGGGAAAACCCAGCTGGTTTTTATCTTCAATCTTCCAGACATTGCCCTTGCACCTGGGGTGGTGGAAAGAGCTGGGCTCTCCTTGCTGTGTCCTCCCCCGGACTGAAGAGCTGTCCCTTTGGCTGAGGCCTCTCTGTCCCCACCGACATGGCACCCGGAGCTGTCTCATCTTCCTTCCTCTTTTGGCTCCCAGCATGACTGCAAGAGCCCGTGCAGTGGCCCTGAGTTCTTCCGCCTGCCTCCTTCCTTCTGGAAAGTCTTCGCAGGCCTTAGAGCCTTGGTCACCTCTTTGGATATCTTCTTTCAAGACTTGAGCTCCCAGGACAGCAACACAGCTGCATCTTTGGGCTAGCTCCATTTCCATACCAGGTTGTTTATTTTTTTAAAGTTTATTTACTTCTTTTGAGAGAGACAGAGTGTGTGAGCGGGGAAGGGGCAGAGAGAGGGAGAGAGAGAATCCCAAGAAGGCTCGACACTCAGTTCAACGTGGAGCCCTATTGTGGGGCTCGATCCTGCAACTGTGAGATCACGACCTGAGCCAAAATCAAGAGTCAGTCGTTCAACCAACTGAGCCACCCAGGAGCCCCAACCAGGGTCATTTATGATGGCCATCAGAATCTCATTTTTACGCCCTCCCATTGCCCTGGGGTCATTTTCTCTTATAGTGGCAGAATGTCTTTTGTCCTGAACTTGCTGAAGAACTTGGTGGCTCCCTTAATAAAAGGACACCCCCTTTCTGCTGAGCTTGTCAATGGAGAGAAGGCTGGAACTTCCAGCTCTGACTCCGCTTCCTTTCTGATCCTTCCTCACCCTTGGGGCTACTGCACGGAGATGATCTTGCCAGCACGCCTTCCACTCAACTCCAGCCAGCTGTAAACCCCACTCCCTCTCCCTGCCTTACGTCCCAGCAACGTGGCCAGGAAGTGCCTGCATGCTTAAAAAGGACTGTTCTCAAGACCCAGGTTTAGCAAAAGGGCAATCAGCATGAGAGGCTCTGGGGCAGGAAGGCTTTCTGCCCCCTGCTCACTACCCGAAGCCCTATGTTCCAATGCCCATAGCGCTGCCCGCTGGGCGAGTGTGTGGGCGGAGAGTGTAGACGGAGAGGCACAGAGACCCGGGCCCAAGCCAGGCAAGGGCCTTTTACTGGAAAAGGCTTGAGATGTCCTGGGAAGGGAAAAGGAATGGTGGCAGAAGGCAATGGAGTGGGGAAGACTGGAGCCCGTGTGCTCGGCCTGGAAAGTGAAAAGTGGGGAAAGCTCCAAGGAAGTAGGGAGCGGACACAATGGGAGGTGAAAAAAAGAGGAAGAGGAATTGAAGATGTTCTGCTAAGAGCTGGAGGAGTAGAACTCACTTTAATATTCTTTAAAAGATGCAAGTAAATAATAGGATTCATTTCTCTCTTTTTTTTAAATGTTTATTTTTGAGAGAGAGAGAGAGAGAGAGACAGACAGACAGAGCATGAGCGGGGGTGGGGCAGAGAGGGAGACACGGAATCTGAAGCAGGCTCCAGGCTCTGAGCTGTCAACACAGAGCCCGAGGAGGGGCCTGAACTCACAAACTGTGAGATTGTGACCTGAGCCAAAGTCGTCCGCTTAACCAACCGACTGAGCCCCAGGATTCATTTCTTTATTATACTTGGTTAATGGACTTCTTTGACTGCAAAAGTGTGCTCAGACCGAGCCACAGAGGACCTGGGAGTTTCTCAGGACCCACATGTAACTAGGATACACGTGCCATCTGGCTTGTGAGCTTTAGTTCACTTGGATTCAACACAGATCAACTTAGCAGGGCAAGGGGATTCCACCTCCACACTCCACGTGGCAGGCTGCATGGCCGTACCAAGCACACCCATACGGCTGGCTTGACATTTTAATCACCTTCCCCAAGGCTACGTCTCTCTGGGAAGATCCAGCACCCCCTCGCCCCCGCCGGATCATATCCCAGTATGTACAGGGCACCCCCATTCAAGGCTGATACACACAGATGACAGATATACAACTGAGTCCCCCCATCCGGTGGTTCTCTCTTTTTTGGCTGGGCATTAGCAGCCTCAAAAAATCCAGATGCCCAGGTTGCACCCCAGACCAGTTCAATTACAATCTCTGGGGCAGGGGGAGTGACACCCAGGAATCTGTCGTTGGTAACCACCCCCCCCCCGCCCCACCCCGCAAGATTCCAGTGCGCAGCCAGGGTAGAGAACTACCGTCCTACTGATTAACTCCATGTTTGGGCATCGGCCACTCAGGAGCTGAACTCTGATATTTGGCATCCAGTCGCCTGAAGTTGTCTCTGCAGTGCCCGACATCAATTCTTATCAAGAGTCCCCAAGTTCCCGAGGGACTTCCTAAGCACCCACTCTTAAACAACAGCTGGGGTCAGTTTGGCAACACACACAGATTGCCCTTTTCTGCAGACACAAAATCCCAGCTCTTGCAACGTCCGGAAGCCCCGCGGTACCTCATGCGTGTCCGTGAGCCGGACCATCCTGTTAGCTAGCCTATGGCCCCTGCTGCCCCCTGCGCCAGGCCCTCGGGGGACAGGGCTCCCATCTTCTGTTACACACACTCACCAGCATCCCAGCCCCTCCCCCGGATCGGTTGTTTCCCACGGGCCCCTCCTCCTACTGCTGGTCACCACTGCCACTGCAGTCAGGGACTGTCCCCTCCTGCTTCCTCTTGGTCTTGCTACTGCCGGATAGTGGGGCGAGTCCTCTGTCACAAGAGTAGCTGAGAGCACCTATCTTTTCCTGCCTTGGACCCTAACCCAGGGCCCAGGGCAGAGGCACTGCTGACCCACCCTCATTTCCTAGGATAGTCCTCACCCCAGGCCTCCACCATCAGGCCTGGGTCTTGCCCCGCCACCCAACAGTGGCACCCCCACCGCTTCCGGCAGCGGCAGGGGCTCTTACAGAACACTCTTCCCGCACCAGCCGTCTCTCCTGGAGCCTTGCCCACCTTGCCAGGTCTGCACCAGAGCCTCCAGGCGTGTCTAGCTGCAGTCTGGGACACTTGGAAAATGTGCTCTTTTTGTAGGCCAACTTCCACACACGGGAGGTGGGATGAAGGCCACGGACAGGAGAGGACATGGGTATGTGGGAGCCCGGAGCACCTTGCGGGTGTCACCCTGCTCCCCACCCAAACCACTGCGGGTACTCTGGGAGTGCCAGGGGTCTGGAAGGGAGCACAGAAGGTGGGTGAGAAACGCATGGAGGGGACCTAATTTGTTTTGTTTTTGCATAGATGTTTTTTAAAGCTTGGGACACATGATGGTTAATTTAAAAAATGTGTGTCTGGAGGCACTTGGGTGGCTCAGTTGGTTAAGCACCTGACTCTTGATCTCGGCTCAGGCCGTGATCTCATGGTTTGTGAGTTCCAGCCCCGCGTCGGGCTCTGCACTGATGGCCTGGAACCTGCTTGGGGTTCCATCTGCCCTTCTCTGCCCCTCACCTGCTTGTGCTCTCTTTCTCTCTCCAAATAAGTACATAAACTTAAAAAAAAGAAAGTGTGTCTGAAGAACTAAAGAATACCAACACAAAAGCAGTGGTCCTCTGGCCCTCCCCACTCCGGACCTGGTCTCCACAGGTGAGCAGCTGTGCTTCTAATTGTTTTAACTCTTCACCACCTGAAACACACTCCCTCCTTCCTGGAATAATTCAGACACAACCTGGCGACCCCCTACTGACAGCTGAGGATCAGACTGACACCCCGCCCCCCACCCCCAGCAGTGCTGGTTTCAGTTTCTGCGCCCAACTGTCGTGAAGTGTGGTGAGACTACTGGCATTCCGATCCTTTCTCGAGCTTTCCATCCCAGACGGCTACCTCCACCCAGGGTCAGTTTTGTTTGATGAGGTTTAGGGGATGGAAAGAAGTGCCCAGATTTCAGAGGAATTTAGAACATGGCTTAAAGGGAAGACTGAAATATTGACTGGTGGTGAAGAATAATCGAAAGAGGGGCATCCAGGGCGGCTCTGGGGGCCTTGGTTTCTGTAGCCGGGCAGACGGTGTGACTTAACGGAGAGGAGAGGAAGAGAGACGAGTGATCTACGGGACACCCGAGTGCAGACGTCGGAGGGCCACTGGCTATCCTGGTCTGGCAGCAGGAGTGAGCGCCGGGCACCAGCAGTCTGTGGGTGCTAACTGAGGCCATGGGCAAGGCTGAGACCATAAAGATGGGCTGCAGCCGGAAGAACAAGGTGGAAAGGAACAGAGACCTGAGAGGAGGGTGAGGAGGGGTGGCTGGAGCTACTACAGGAGCTGGGACAGGGAGGGCAGGGGTCCTTGAAGTACCGGTGAGCTCAAGGGGCAGGAAGCTGTGGCCAGAGTCCCTGCGGGCCAGCTTTCAGTATGGTGAGGTCCAGGGGGTGGCCGTGGGGCTGGTGGCTGCAGTGGGGTGGGACAAAGACCCCAGAGAGGCCAGGGTGCTGGATGTTGAAGTCCCCCAGAAAGAAGGCTGGACCTGGCTAAAGAGAGGCCACCTGGGAGGCGGGTGCTGGAGCCTCCCCTGTGTGGGGGGAGGCAAGAGGAGGTGTGAAATGATCTGGGGAAAGTGGGGTTCACCTCAAGAAAGGCACAGAGAACCTGACTAGATGGTGGGACCGACACAGTCCAGGAGGCACAGAAGGCCTTGACCCGCCTCCCCACTCTGAAGCTCACAGGGCGTTGGAAAGAGGGGACATGGTAACTCCACCAGAGAACCAAGTTTCAGTGCAGGGAGGACACAAAACCGCCTGCAGAGAAGAGCTAAGTCCAGCAGGGAATGTGATGGTCATGGAAGAAGGGGTTGCCAGGGCAATCTTTCAACAAATATTTATTGAGCAGCCGTATCTGCCAGGTCCTGGGATCGACACATTCCCTGCCCTCATGGGCTTAGGTCCTGGCAGAGGCCCAGCGGAAAGCCTCGGGGTGGTGGGATGGGGCAGCTGGAGGGGCAAAGGGAGATAAAAGCTTCCTATTTTGGGGCAAAGAGGCCTGGGGATGTGAGGAGCGGGCAGCCTGTATCTCAATCATGCCCTTTCAGGTGAAGAGGGCTTACATCTCCCTGACGGGTCTGTGCAGCCGCTCCTTCCTTGGTCCGCTCCTTGACCACGATGCACAGAATGCCTACTGTGTGCAGGGCCTTCAGCGAATGGGCCAGGCTGGGTGGTGGGGTGCAGGAGGGCCAGGGAGCAGGAGCCAAGTGAGCGAGTGGCCACGCGGTTCCAGGAGGACGGTGGCCACCAGCTACAGAAGAGGGAGGTGCTAGGGGTTCTCAGAGGCCTGTCTGAGGGGGGCCA